TATATACATACATATATATACATACATATATATACATACATATATATACATATATATATATATATATATATATATATATACATATATTAGACAGATGATGTGCAGATATAATAAAGAAATTAAACTAGAAGTTGCTGCAACAACTGCAGCTCATTTTTTTGCTTCATAATAAATGAGTTCCACCTCACAGATGACATGCGCAATAAAAACAACACTGTCATGAGAACAAATGACTGATATATGAACACAACGTTGGGCGTTGGCGCTGGAGATTAATCAATTTGATGACAGATTTTTTCAGAATGACTTTTTCTGGTAAGTCCAGTTATCACACTAGTCAAGTCATTTTGGTTAAAGTGTGTGTTTAGATCCATCTCCACCCACTCTCTCTTTCAGCATCTGTGGGCTTTACTAAAAGCCTTAAATCAGTCATCAGGCATTTTCCTGTACTTTTTGTTACACTTCTTGCCACTGAAGACATACTTCACTTCTCTTTTTTTTTGTTTTCTATAAAAATGATGACCAAAAGCTAAACAACTTGGCAGCATATCCGTATTTTCTATTGCCAATTGTGTTGCGTTAAAACGGTAACCATTCGACGTCATCAAATATAATGGAACCCTCACTGTCAAAAATATTTAAAAATAATTTATATGATTTCTTTTTTTTTTTAATAAGGCAAAATATTTCATGTTTTATCTTTTTTTCTATGTACACTTGATGTCAGAAGTATTAGCCCCCTCTTTTAATTATTTTTCTCTTTTAAATATTTCCAAAATGATGTTTAACAGAGCAAGGAAATGTTCACAGTATGTCCGATAATATTTTTTTCTTCTAGAGAAAGTCTTGTTTGTTTTATTTCGGCTAGAATAAAAGCAGTTTTAAAATTTTTAAACACTATTTTAAGGACAAAATTATTAACCTCTTTAAGCTAGATTTTTCCCGATAGTCTACAGAACAAACCATCATTATACAATAACTTCACTAATTACATTAACCTGCATAGTTACCCTAATTAACCTAGTTAAGCCTTTAAATGTCACTTTAAGCTGTATAGAAGTGTCTTGAAAAAATCTAGTCAAATATTATTGACTGTCATCATGGCACAGATAAAATAAATCAGTTATTAGAGATGAGTTACTAAAACTATTATGTGCAGAAATGTGTTGGAAAAATCTCCTCCACGTTAAACAGAAATTGAGGAAAAATAAACAGGGGTGCTAATAACTGAGGCAGGCTAATAATTCTGACTTCAATTGTATGTCATTAAGAGACATCTTGGTCATGCTTTATTTTAAAGGGGCCCTATTCACCTTATTCTTCGCCGACGAGCGGGCGCAGCCATATGAATCTTTTTGGCTCGAGACGTCCGGTCTCATTCACTTCCATTCATTTTTAGACATTAAAAACTGCTCGTTTCGCTGTTTGATGTTGCAAACTGATATTTCCTTATTACATTATTCTACTTGGTCTGTATAGTCATGCAAACATTTGTTTGTGGAGCAAGTAGTTTGACCGTTTTCTGCCATTTATTATTCTTAGTCATTTCTCCCACAGGCGACTGAATCGGAAGTTCTAAAACAATCGTGAAAACAGGTGCACTTCTGTATTTTAGAATAAGGTCAATTATGCCCCTTTTTTACAAGTCACTGATGTCCCTAGCGCAGGGATGCCCAAACCTTTTCGTTTGAAGGTCCAAAACCAAAATCACACCCGTGGCCAAAGATAAATACACCAAACAATTTGACAATAAAGTTGCCATGGGTAATTTCCTAATTTATTTCAAAACATTCAAAAATAAATAGAAAGCAACTCTTTGAATCGTATTAACTAATGCAGAATATATTTTTTTAATTATAGCTTATTGCAATAAAAACATAAACAATCACATTTATAACACAGTGGAGTTCAATGCGGAATACACTGATCAAGCAGAATCTGCCTTTGCCTTGATTTGCTTACCAAAGTCTCTGCATTGTCCTTTATCCGTCGGGTGACAGTATGTACATTTTAAACCAAATGACAGCATTTCAATTGAAACATTGAACTAAAGTTTAAGTAACCTAGCATTAAAACCCACAAATGAAAGGTTACATTAAATTTAAAATGAAAACAATCCCCACTATTCTCCCTCTCTTCTCAGATGGGATGGCGGGAAAAATCAAAGGGCTCTGTTATGACGGTCCATGCGCAGATCGCAAAACACAGGGCGCAAACGCTTTCAGGGCGTGTCAGGACGCGTTTTTGTTAATTTAAGGACGGGAAATCTGCCTTGCGCCGTGGCGCATGTTCTAAAAGGGTTGAGTTTATTTTCTTAATGAGTTATAGGTGTGTTTTGAGAATAAACCAATCAGAATCTCATCTCCCATTCACTTTAAGAGTCAGCTGCGTCACACCAAGAGCGCATTCGCTATTTACAGGACACAAAGTAAGTCTAAGTGGAAAAAATGAGCATTTCACAAGCAAACAGTTAACAGTGTTTTTTAACAGAAAACTGTTAAACAGAGCATCTACTGAGTGAGAATGAGAGATAATGGAATTACTTTCACTTTCGCTCTTGGATAGGGAAACCTTTACGCACAGACATCAATTAGTCTATAAATAAATAATTGTGTTTGTTAAGCGCAAATATTCGTTTCAAAACTATTTCTAAATTCAGTTCTAATTTCCAGCAAACGAATAAATGAATAATAATAGCAAAATGTGCTCAAAAACCAGAGTCATATCCTAAAACACATGCTGTGCCCCATATGGTCTAAAACCTGACAGGTGGGCAAATCTAAGCTTGTTTTAATAAAACAAATATAAATATGGATATATTAAATAATACTGCTAATAATAATAACATTATACAAAAGCAAATTGTTATGAATGAACTGAAAAAGCCTCCCGAGATGAAGAAGACATAAAAGCAGTGATTTTTCATATTTATGTAGGCTAGAAAATAATATGTTTTGTAATATTTTAATCCTTTATATTTATATGCTATATCTATTCTTATTATATCCTATATATATCCTTAATATTTAAATTTTTTCATATGTAAAGATATTTGCCTATTGCTCTCTTGTGCGTATTAAGCAGTGTGTAAGCGAAGCGCAACTCTGCGCTGGAGTTTAGACTGGGTTTGTTTTGGTCTAATGAAAAATCTATTATAGTTCCTCAAAATAGCGACGCGCCAGCGGTCCGCCTCAGAACGCCTTCCTTTTTAGACCAGAACGCCTATGAGCGCACATATGAGCGCTAATGCATTTGCTATTTAAACAGCGTAGCGCAACGCCTCAAAACAACTCTTGCGCCAAGCTGAAACTACCAAAAGACTACTGCGCCACGCCTTGCGACACACTGCGCCGGGTGTATGATAGGGCCCAAAGGTTACCATAGGCCAACTTTGGCCCTCAAGCCCTGGTTTGGGCATCTCTGCTCTGGAGTGTGTACGTGAAGTTTCAGCTCAAAATACGCAGCTCAGTTTCAGCTGAAAAGAAAATGTTTTTTAACTCGTCGGAACTGCCCCCTTTTAGGCTTTGATCAAAATTGTGCTGTTTTGGTGACTGTCAGTTTACATTAAAATTGCGTGGTCTTTTCAAAAAAGGCAGAGCTACAAATGCTTATGTGTCAGCATAGATTCAGAAATAAGGCTAGAGTCCTATGCTAATGAGGAAGAGATCATCACTAATGGGCGGGGCTTTCCCCTTCCGATGACACGTACAAAGGTAGAATGTCAATCAAAGTTTTTCTGCAGACGCTTAAATCAAGTGCGATTATAAAAAATATAATTAATCCAATTTTAGCATCAGAAGCTGGTTATATTCACACACTGTTGCCACACAAATGTGTTTAAACCTGTTATAAAAGTGATGTTTGCATAATAGGTCACCTTTCAGGTTCAATTCTCACTATTGATAAACCATTACCGATGACTGTTGTGTCAAACTCCTAATTAGCTGCATATTAATAGTTAATGAGGTAGTGGGTTGAGTTTAGGTCATATTTGTCAGATTTGAACATGCAGAATATGTGCTTTATGTGTACTAATAAACAGCCAATATCTTTAATAATAGGCCAATAATAAGCCACCTTATGGCTTGTAGTGTAAACGGTGAGAATTAGGAGTTAAACAGAATTGTAATCTCGTACATCTCCTACAAGTTGCTTTAAAGCTGAGTGTGTTGTTCAAACCTTTGACAGAACGGAAGTCATATTTACCTGCTTTTGCTAACATGGACGCGAGTAGTTTGCAGACTATGGAGCCCCTCTTCCTCATCTTACACTGTTTACTGTAGGGGAAGTACGGGATCACGCCGATGATGTTCTTGGCACAGGAGGTCTTCAGTGCATAGGCCATAATCAGCAGCTCCATAATAGCCGTGTTCACATCTCTGACACAGACAGATAAAGACAAAAATACATTTAGCTGACTGCTCTAAAGCTGTGGTTCTCAACCACGTTCCTAGAGGACAACCAGCATTGCATGTTTTGCATGTCTCCCTTGTCTGTCACACTCTTATCAGATTTTGCAGTCTCTGCTAATGAGCTGATGATCTAAATCAGGTGTGGATGGTTAAGGAGACATGGGCTGCATCGAAACTCGCATAACTCCATACTATAGACCATTTTAATGTGACGATATCATTGGCCCAAGAACATTTCCTGCTTGTTATCAATCGATTTCATAACTGTAGCAAGAGGCAATTCAATTATAACTTAACAATAAAATAGCTATCATAATATTATTAATTATTATGTGGCTCTTTTTGGATTCTCAGAAGCTATAGAAATTAAAAATGTAAAACAGGAAATAAGTTGGGACCACTGTTTTTGTTGACACGCCTCAAAATGGTCTATATAGTACGTTAAAAACAATATGTGAGCCGAATAGAACATACATACGTACATACATACATATATATATATATATATATATATATATATATATATATATATATATATATATATATATATATATATATATATATATATATATATATATATATATATATATATATATATATATATATATATGTTTATATATATGTTTTTATATATATATATATATATATATATATATATATATATATATATAGGCGAGGCAGTGGCACAGTAGGTAGTGCTGTTGCCTCACAGCAAGAAGGTCGCTGGTTCGAACCTCAGCTCAGTTGGCGTTTCTGTGTGGAGTCAGCATGTTCTCCCTGCCTTCGCGTGGGTTTCCTCCGGGTGCTCCGGTTTCCTCCACAGTCCAAAGACATGCGGTACAGGTGAATTGGAATATGTGTATGTCCGTAGAGTATGTGTGTGTGTGGATGTTTCCCAGAGATGGGTTGCGGCTGGAAGGGCATCCGATGCGTAAAAAAACTTGCTGCATAAGTTGGCGGTTCATTCCGCTGTGGCGACCCCGGATTAATTAAGGGACTAAGCCGACAAGAAAATGAATAAATGAATATATATATATATATATATATATATATATATATATATATATATATATATATATATATATATATATATATATATATATATATATATATATATATATATATATATATATATATATATATATATATATATATATATATATATATATATATATATATATATATATATATATATATATATATATATATATATATATATATATATATATATATATATATATATATATATATATATATATATATATATATATATATATAT